TATGACAATTTCTATATAATTATTGTAAAAAAGCATTGTCTTTGCTATATTTTGTATTAGTGAAGATTAATTTAAATAAAATTAAAAGTTTAGGTGCTTATTATAAAAGAAAAAAAAATAAGGATGAATTAAAACAAAATTGAAGATCAAAATATAATTTTTGTAAGGTGCCTATTTGTAAAAAAGGTTAAGTTTAAGAGAATCAATTTTTTTTTCCTTAGGAAATTGATTCTAGTGATGATTTAACTTCCGATGTTAATTGTAGCACATAAAAGTGTTTTTGGCCCGTCCCGCCTCTAATCCTTCAAAACCAAGGGGGGACGGGTTGGTCGACCATAGTTAGGACAAACTATAGACCCTAACTCGCTCCACTAGCCTCCCAAAATTATTTTTTTATATATAAATTTTTTTATATATTTTTTAAAATATATTTTTAATTATATAAATAATTTTTAAGTTTTTATTTATTAATATTTTTTATTAACTAAATTAAAAATTATGTGCCAAAATAACTAATTATAATTAATTATTTAAATTTAATTATTTATTTTTTATAATTTAAATTATAATAAGATAATATATTTAGATATCTTAATAATATAATAAAAAATATAATATTTTTAATTTTAATTATTTTTATTTTTGTTTTTATATATAAATATTATTTTAAAGCGGATCTATTGGCTAACACATCATATCTTGTCAAATTGGCTAACTGGGTGAGGCGGACCAAAACAGACTGACAAAATAAAATCACTAATCCGCCCCACCTCTTTTTGCATGGGCTGGAGCCAATCCACCGCGCCTATTCCATTTCTTCATTCCTACATAAAATTATATATTTTGATAGGGGGAGATTTAGGGTTATGTGAGGTAAACTCTAACTTGATGAATTTGTATATTGACTCCAAATTGAAGATCATGTGTTTAAGTATCACATGAAATTATGTGTTTAAGTATCACATGAAATTAAAATAAGATGATGATAAAAATAATTAACTCACTAGAATTAGTATATGTTAGACAAATGATATCTAGAGGGGGTGAATAGATGCACAAATTAAAATAGATGTCAAATTAAAAATTTATTTGTGAGTCAATAATTTGTTTGAACACAGATAAAGCGGAAGCGATAATATAATCAGGAAAAGGGAAAGAGATAAGGGAAAGAAAGAAGAGCATACAGTAATTTATACTGGTTCGGGTATAACTAACCCTACATCCAGTTCCCAGTCAACTCTAATTACAAGAGTGACTCCCAATTCACTATCTTTTAAATTCAGCTCACAAATTACAATCAACTCAGCAGAGGAACCAGTAAAAAGTAAAATAATTCAAAAGACAATCACCTCCTTATAAACCCATTGAGGATGAACACCTCCCTAGAATCCCACTAGGGATGAACACCTCCTCTAAACAAATCAAAGGATGAACACACCTCTTTAGAATCCCACTAAGGATGAACACCTCCCTAGAATCCCACTAGGGATGAACACCTCCTTTGAACAAAGGATGAAGGTAATAAAATAAGAACAGTCACACCTGGGTAATGGAGACAACAAATTGTAGAAGCTTGTAGAAGCTTGTAGAATGCCAACATCCAAGGACAAGTGTGATTAACAATGAAAACACAGTAGGTAATGAAAAAGAGGGTTTTCTCAAAACATGTAAAAGATCTCTATTGCCTTGCTCAAAATTCTTTTCTCAAAACTGATTGAATGTAAATTGTATTTTCGAATTCTGTAATTGTGTTTTTGATTTTCCATCAAAACTTAAATGAATAGAAAAATAACATCAGAAAATATCCGTTGGACATTAATATTTTTGTGGATAAAAATCAGGATATATTCAAAAATATTTATTCTTCAAAACAGATATATTTTTCAAATTTAAACTGCCATAATCGATTATGTTACTAGTATAGTCGATTATGACAAAGAGAAAAGAGAAAATCGTTTTTCCATTTCTGATGCATCATAATTAATTATGATAATGAAAAATGTCATGTTATGAAATTTTATCACACTTATACTTTGGAGGTTTATGCATAATATCACTTCATCAACTTGTATCTCCATATCCAGTATTCTAAGACTCTATCTAGTCTTCATGAAACATCTGGGCTTGCTTGAATCATCATCTTTATCAAAATCATATCTTGGGCATGTAGGGAAATGTTTCACGTTGTCACCAACGTCTTAAATTCAGCTTGTCCTTAATTCATCGTGAATGGTGTTGACTTGAATGTAGTTGACTTGAATCATTATCAAAATCATCTCTTGGGAATGTAGAGACATTTCCATGAGTATAAATAGTATTCTTGTCTTTTATATTCAGCTAGTAAAAAAAAAATAGAAACTAATTGAAATAGCTTCTCAAACATAACCATAATGTAATTGCGGTGGTGAAATATATAGAACTAATTCAGATCACACTTGAATATTCTCAATCTTATTTTCATAATTAATATATAATTGAACTAATTATTAATGGAAAGACAACCCATTATTAATATCTCTTACACATAACATATAAGAATATAAAGAATTTTAACTTAAAAGCAATATGTGATAATGTGAGCTTAATATATTATAAAATCATCAAATAACTTTAAATTTGAATACTAGTCAAAGTACTAAAGATGGGTAGTGTGATGAAAAGAAATGGAGGAAACGTTTATGGTAAAAAAATATTGTAGGAAAGAATGTAAGAGTAAACGGTACTTATACAATTTTCACCTATCATAAATTTTCTCTCAAAGTGTGTCATATTCTTTCCTATTTGTTATTAGGGATGATAATTAAACCCGTATTCGTGTGGACCCATCCGTCTCCGCCCCGAGTTTGATAGAAAAAACTCGAGTTGACCGGGTCGGGGTGGGTTCAGATTTTTTCCGTTTTAAAAAGTCGGGACGGGGATAGAGATATGTAATGAAATTCCCATCCCGGCCCCGGTTCCGCCCCGACTTTATATTTAAATTTAAATTTTAAAATATTAATATTTTAAAAATATATTTTTTTTCTTTTTCTATTACATATAATGTCATTTTTTTTATAATTCAATATTTTTTACTTTTATTCTATCCACTTTTTAATTCTTTTGCCTTTTTTAATCTTTTATATAAATTAGTTTATTACATTCTTCTTTTTCTCTTACCTTTCAGCTTTTTCACATTTCTTTAATCTCTTCAATCAATTTTTTTTCAATCTTTTCAACTAATTTGATGAATACAAAGTTAATCTTTTTCTTTTTCTTTATTTTTTTCTAAATATTTTACATAAATCTTAGTAGTTACTAATATTATTTTATTTATAATTTATATTTATTAGGTTTTATTATATCATATTTTTTGGATTTTGTTATTTTTATTTATCATATATCAAATTTTATCTTAATAAAATAATTGTATTTTAAAGGATTAAAAATAATTTATAATTTAAAATTTTATTAATTTAAACTAATTAAATAAAAATTAGCTTATTAAATATTTCTTTATAAACTATATATTTCATATTTTTAAATGATAACTTAAAAATGAATTAATTTATATATGTAATCAAATGTTTGAATACAATATAATAATAATAATAATAATAATAATAATAATAATAATAATAATAATAATAATAATAATAATGTTATAAGTATTAAAATACAGTATAATAATAATAATAATAATAATAATAATAATAATAATAAGAAGAAGAATAATAATGTTATAAATATTCTATATATGTATAAATAAAAAATAAATAAATATTTCTTTTACATATATATTTTAATATAAATATAATAAAGTAAAATATATATTTAATTAATAATAATTACAAATTGTAAAATTATAAATATTGATTTATGTATAAAAAAATACATAAAATTAGTAAAATTAATTTATTATAAATATAATTTTTTTTTAAATAATATAGATTGGGAGGGGATGAAAAAACTCAAAATCTAACGAGAACAAAGATGAAAACTTAATTTCTAACTCCTACAGAAGATTAATAGCAAGAACATAAATAATTAAAAAAGTCGGGATGCCTATGATCATTCAAACGAATCAAAACTCTTGCCACCATAGATGCATTTATCAACAAAATTGTGTAGAAGAACATCTATCCTCTGCATTTATATATCTGGATGAATTTGTTTTATAGTTTATACAATTTTTATTGTTTATATATAAGTTCTGTTTTTCTATCAACAAATTTCGATGCTAATTTTTGTTAACAGAAAAACTCGAATTCACAAACTATTCATATCTTCCTTCTATGACCAAGTCAATCTTGAAAATAGTAAAATTTACTAGAGTGATAATTTCTAACAATAAAAGGACATGAGTGTCTTAAGTTTCAAACAAAAAAAATTCAACTACGTTCATACTATCCAAAGTCAAATACAAGTTTCCTAAATAGGAATTATCAATAATCATTTTCTAAATCCAAGACGTTTATGACATCACTATTATTTTTTCTGTAGATTTCAGTTTTGAAAATTAAAACCCCATAAATATCCCTCCAAAACACCCTAGTGCCTCTCTTGAAAGAGATTTTTTTAGAATCATCACATTGGGTCGTTACTGCTGCTATTCAGCCTGCTATTTGGTCTGCCATAACAGCTCCAACACTGCTATTTAAAACCCTTGAAATAATAACGAGTTTACCATGATAATAAACAAGGCTCCACAAACCAACGTATTATGCAGAACTCTAGAACTAAATATATTTCTGAAAAAGGTTACTTTGATGTGAGATATCATATTTCAGGAAGCAACAAATAATAGAAGGACTAGAAAATAATAAAAATACAAATACATACATAAACAGAGGAATCTGACATCTCCCCCGACATACAGAAAATTGAGAAGTAGTAGTATAGTACATCAAGCGATAAGAGTAATGCAGCAAAACACAGCAGTTTACATCTTCACCTTGAATAGTATTACAACACTAAGTAAGAGATGAACACTATTTAACCTATTAAATATTATTTTTGCACCATTACATATTTCTTCCTTGATCCATTTTGATCATTTGTTTGTAGCTGCTCACTATCTTCTTATCTAATTCATAGTAGTCTTCCACTTTACTCAAGCGCTTTAAATCGAGGTCGATAAAATACACCTAATATGGATCAAATTGCAAACGAACTTAGACATTCAATGCATACAATTACAGCCACAGCTCATTTCCGTAGATAAAGATAAAAAGATTAGTGACTGCTAAAGGAGACAATAATTAAGAACTATATCATTCAAATTATGATATTCATGATGATAACTTCTGCATGTTGTTATTGCTTTTTCTTTAACAAAAAAAAAACAAGTGCAATGACTACAAGATATTAACTGCTATTGTCTCAATTAATGCAAATCAAGTACATAATAAATAAACCACAAAATCATGAGTAAGGTAAAAAGAATTCAAAGGTTCAGACAACCAAAAGGGAAAACGGAAGGGATAGGGGTCTATAAATTTGAAATCCATTTTACCAATGGAACCATAGGCAATGCTCATGCATATGTGAGTTTAAAACGAAGTCACAAATATATGTCTGATAAAAATTGTTTGATAGTCACCAAAAAAAATTCTGAGTGATAGTTAGCAGTATATGTTCATAGGACCTACAGGACAGAAACTTTTGCGAAGCCTCATCATCCCCATGCAAGGCCTTAAATCAAAGGCCCATCTTTAAACAAACCAAACAGATTTTTGCACGCACAACACACAAAATTTCAACCAACAATAATAATGGAAAAGTTCTGCCTACCTTAAAATCAAAGGCCTGGTTAGTTGACTCAAGATATACATTATTGTACACCAATCGAGAATCCTCCTCATTCTTTGGTCTAAAACACAACATCAAACTGCAGTCTTTTGCAGTTGCTGCTATTAGGTAGTCCTTTACAATTCTCAAGCTTTCATCAAATGAAGCTGAATGCAAAGAGGCATATGTTTTTGCCTGTTCTTCACTCAATGCCTTACACACCATGCACTGTTGAGATGTAATGTCATAATATGCATGAATGACTCCTTCTATGTCAATATTATCAAGCTTCTGAACCTCCAGGAGCTTATCAAGGACTCCTGAGTTTTGCAAAGCCTCAGTAACAAGAGTAAATAAGTACTCTGTGTACAAACCATCATCAGCTTGAATGACTGACTTAAGTTCATCTTCAAATTTTTTAGCAATACAAACATCTGTATTTTTTGCAACACCTCCCAGTCCTCCAAGTATGAGAGAGCCATTAAAAAATACACGGAAATTGTTTTGAGGAGTTGAAAAGAGACTTTTAACCGCTTTTTGAATTCTTTCCTTGGATCCAGAGAACAGATCAAGTGGATTGTAGTCACTTAGCTGTGATATCTGCAAACATATTCAAAGAATTTCTTGTTCAGATTTAATGCTAAAAAATAATTGACAATGGCAGTCAAAGCATCAATCAAAAGACACAGAATTAAAAGCTGAGCCAGGAACTTATGCAACAGGAAGTATGAACCATGTATCATCCGGATCTACACAAAATGTAAAATTATGTGGGATGTACCTCTCCTTGAAGCAATTTCAGAGTTTGGTGCATTTCAAATCGAGTTATTCTCCTTTTGATAGCATTCCCTTTAGATATGAATCTTGACATTGGAAGAAATCCACATTTGGGCTACTTTTCGAGGTAAAATATAAGTTATTGTTACAAACAAGCAAAAGAGAAAGACAGAGAGGAAAGGGGTGTAGGTAAGATGAAGATATTCAATTTAAACTTAGGTATTATTCAAGGAGAAAAATAAACCAAAGAACCATAAAGTGTGACATAATTGAGCCTATACCTTTATCTCAATAGATAAGCAAGGGCTAGGTCCTTGACTACCTGAAATGAATCATGAAGCTTAATACAAAACTTTCAAACATCTGACAAGTTTATGTACTAACTTCTCATACTTGAAATTGATGATATCTCAGCTTGGTATGATTACAAATTAGATATTTAATTTAAAAGGAAAAACAGAAAAATGTCGACAAGAAGAAGCAAGATCTATGATACACATACCATGAGCAAAAAGTGAATGATCAGACATGAGAAGGCCAAAATCACAATGTGTATCAACCCGAGCAGCATCAACTCGCCACACAGGACGATAACAAGTAACATTCTTCTCAACTAACTCAAGGAAATGCCTGGTCACCAAGACGAGCATCTAAGAAATACCAAAGAATCATAGGTCAAGGAGGACACAATTGTTCAGTATATGTGCCAAGTTGCCGGCACATGGGAAAATACCACACATACTGGGAAGCTACCGGCTTACGAAGGCATCAAAGGCATTAAGCATGACTAATAGCATGAGAAACCAGCTTAATTAATCTAATTGGGGTAATCACATGCCCGAATGGATAAGGACTAAGGCTCATGAGGTAAAGGGCCGCTAAGAACACTATAAATAGGTGATTATCCTAAGGTACTTACAGTTTACATTCATCAACATTTATTACATCATTTATTTTTCGTTGACTTGAACATTGGAACATTGGAGTGTCTTGGTAGACATCCCACTCATGCTGAGGAGTATACAAGAGGGTAACAACTTGAAGTAAAGGGTATGATACGACTTGATACCACTTGGTCTTACAAGAACAACAATCACTAACTTTCTCATTCAACATCTTAACCACTTCATTTCAAAAATTACATCAACTCATTAAATCCAGTTTTACCTTTAACAAAATTGATCAGAATAGAGACAAGCAATAACTATCTTAACATGGTGTGTAAGGAGGGTCATTTTACCAGTACCTGATTTGGAAACCCTAAGGTAAGAAAACATTAAAATGATGAAAATTGATTTGTTTCCATGATTTCTGATAATCATTAGCTTTTATAGTTGCTGTAATTAGAACAATGGTTCACACTTTCCTAGTTACCGCTAGGATTTAGACCCAAGTCAATATCAAAAGCTAACTCATTAAATCTCAGCTAGTTTTATATATATATATATATATAGGAGAGAGAGAGAGAGAGAGTGAGGTTAACATGAGTAGCACCACAATGAGATTACGACATCCCAACATAAGTTGGCACCCCATCCCTCACCAATCAAAAGCTAGTTCAGTAAATCTCCAGGGCTTGTTCATTAAGTGATAATTGTCTCCCACCTATAAATTCTAATGTGGTCACATTACTGGTCAAGGAATGATCTCCAACACATGATAATAAAATTAACCACTTTCAGTCAATAAAACAACATTCATTTATGGGTTCGCGAAAATAAATCTAGAAGAGGGACAATGCAACAGTCACTGGCATACATACATACCCCAGCATCAACAAAGTTGGAACCAAGTAAGGGCTTCATAACATGCTCCACATATAGTTGATCAGCAATGTCCTTGTCAGAAGAGGAAATAAGTTGATGCGCATCTTTCCAGATGACAAGTTCATGAGGAGTCAAAGCTATGCTATTCCTCACACTCACACCGTTTGACTGCAATCCATTCTTTGGAGCCTTACGTATGCGGATCACTTTCCCAATCTAAACACACACAATGCACATTAATATTTGTTTGGGGTTCATCCAAGCTCACAATTCAGTTACAACAAGCATTAGAAAGAAAGAACACACAAAAGAAGGAGAGGATCCAGTGTAAGCGAGCACAAGATTAACAGCTCCTTCCCCTCTGTAAACCCAGTGAGCTGCATCCTCCTCTTTCAAAGTGAGTGCCATCTGTTTCACATGAAATTCTTGTCAAGCATTTCATCAAACACTAACACAACAATACTAAGAAGAAAAAGGGTACCTTATTCTTCCAAGAGGAGAAAAATGGAATGCAGCCACTGCTTCAAGTTCTAACCACCCAGGAACAAAACCACAGGAACAATACCAAAAATTATGCTGTTTTTTATTTTGTATGAAAAAAAAAAAAATTGGTAATGGTTCTTAGTTTATGATCTAAACAGTAACGAGGGAATAATAAGAACCAACACTTGAAAAGGAAAAACGAAACGAATTATATGCTGTCTAGCTGTGAAAGCTTTACGTGTCGATGCTCAGGAATAAATTCTTACGTATTATGACATGTATATCATTTAATCTTTCAACCAATATCCACTTTACACGTATTTAAATTTTCAATCAATGAGGAAATCAATAATATTTATTAAGAAAAAATTATATATAATCGTAATACTACTATAGTATACAGCCTAATTGCATCTTAGCTTTAGTCAATTTTCAGAAAAGAAATATTGTTTCGTGCAACAGGCACCGTATTTCACCTACTATACAACTATAGAAGGTTTATTTTACCCGGCATCGTAATATTTTATCAAGCTAATAGTTTTCTAAATTTGCAAAGTAGTCCTTTTTACCAAATTTAATTATTGCAAATAAGTACTTGCGGAAATAAATTAAAGTTTTATATTTTCAAAAATTTTAGTCTTTCAATTTTGTCATCCTAATCAATTTTTCATATCAAATTTCATTTAATTTTGTTATGGATGGGAATGACTGGAGGAATGAGGTTTCGAGAAAAATAATAAGATGGAGAGTGATTTATCATCAACTAACTATTGATTGTAAAAAACAAAATTTCATTTAAATAGTGGAATATAATAGAGATCGCTAAGGGATAGTTGTTGAGTAAAAAACATTGAAATCAATATATGTTCATAAATGTTTTTTTTATTAAATAATATTAAAATAATAATTAGTTACTTAATTAGATATTCTAAAAGTTTATTTATCAAAATAGATCTATTTATCGAACAAGATTAAAGTTCAGCCTTCGAAAACCAAATTTCAAATTAAAATACGTCTATGTGGCATTGAAAAAGCAATCAAAATTTGGTTTTCGAGATCATATTCTGAATTTTATTTTGATTTTTTTTTCATTAAGTAATTATATATATATATATATATATATAAAAGTTATTATATTGAACGTAAATTAATAAATTATTAATTTTAATGTAAAGTAAATATGAGATCAATAACAAGAAATTAAAAAGAATTAATTTCATATAAAATACTAATTTAACACAGAATTTTTAAATATTATTTTATATTAATATTTTTAATTATTTAAAATTTTTATATTAATATTAGTGTATTTATATTAAGTTATTTCATATATATATATATATATATATATATATATATATATATATTTTTTAAGTTTGTATATGAGCAATGTTAAAATTCATTCTTTTTTTTAATGTGGTCAAATGTGTGTAGTATGAACAAATTTTGGGATGATATTGGTATTTTGTTATGTCTATTTTTATTCATTGCGAATTGATTTAGATTTGGGCTCAAAATTGATTTTGTGTGAGATGACCAATAATATCCATTTCTTAATTTTTTAAACAATTCATCATAGACCTTAATGACTTATGATAAGTTATATACAAAGTTGGTGTAGTTCACAAAATCATGATGTGTCTTTAATGCAACAATTACCTACAAATACGATAATGAAACTTACTACAATCACAACATGATTCGTCTAACCTTACAACAAATCAAACTTTTTGTTCGACTTTTGTCTGATTATTGGTTTTCTCCACCAAAACAATCTTGTACTTATTCAATCACTTTATGAGTCTTTGTTTTTCTATGTTTCCAGTAGTAATCATAACAACTACCTTCCTACCTCTTTACAATGAAGAACTTATTACAACATATATAAGTTGTCGTCACAAAGGAAATATGAAAGGTTCCTTGTCATTTTCAAGATGGAATTAGTAGATTTTGTTAGGTTTGTAGCCATGTGTCCCTAACTAATATCCATTTCTCCCTTAGGATTTTGTCCAACCATTGTGTTGCCTCCAAATCTTCATTTTTTTATTATGTTGTAATAGTAGAAGAATTTGGGTTTAATCATTCCATATGTTGTTTGAAACAATTGAAGATTAATTAGTGAATAGTTACTTGAGTGCTACATCAAATTATTAAGTTTAGAAAAGAACAAAACTTACACACACTAAGGTAGGGAGCACATTTACAATAGGGTACGACAACTGTTATGCTAAAATTGATGTAATATAAGACGTAATGACAATTTTGTAAACAATGGGAGGGATACCACATCAATTGTGGAGCAATCGATGTAGTATATGAGATACTACGTCGATTACACGTGTAACCAATGTAGTATTTCATATACTACATCGGTTGCTCACATAGTTAATGTAACATCCTCTTAAGGGGTCTCTAAAACGATATATATGTTGGTTCCCTTTAAACCCCCATTACTCTCATCTTCATCCATCCCCCCTCGACTCTCCCTGAAGCCCACTTGAACAATAGAGCATGGAATTTTTCCATTATTGTCACCACCACTGCATTGTCATCACCGCTAGAATGGTTATGCTGCTTCGTTGTCCTTCCCTCACTCTCGATCTCCCTAACCATCATCTTCTACCATGACCATTATTGGATTCCCTTCATGGGTCCCTTCCAGCTAGCATGCCGTTGTCATTATAGGGAAGCTTTGTGCATGTGTTGAGGATTGTGGATGTTCTGGAGCAAGGAATCGACCTAACCTTCAAAGCCCTAACTTCTCAGGTAAAAAACCTCCCCTAGACACCCCCTTGTCATCTCGAAGTTGCACCTCTTCTTCACTTCATCCCAACTCCTCTAGCGATGACGATGTTGTTAGAATTAGAGGCTGAGATTAAGAGGGGTGAATTGATCCAAATAGAAACTTTTCGCAACTTTCATATACATATTATAATTTTCAAAGATTTAGAAATCTAATCAAATATTGAACTAAGAATTATCAAGAAGAATGAGAGAAAGAGATACAAGAAGGATAAAAACACCAAATTTATACTGGTTCATCCAAATCACTAGGCTACATCCAATTCTCAACCAAATTCTAGTTGAGTTTCACTAATTAAAATATGTTTGATTACAGAAACAAATTGCAAACACACAATCTACACCAATAACTAAGATCCAGTTCTTTGAACCTTGACCATAGCCAAATTCTAGTTTTTAAACCAGTGTCCACACTTCTAGACACCAAGAATACAAAGAGTCGACAAAAATTTGAAAGAATAGAAGAAACTACAACAATCAAACTAGTATGCAAATGCAAGAATCTAGCTACATAATGAGTTTCTTCGAAAACCAAGAACAAAGAACTTCAAGAAAGATTTCTGAGGAATTCTTATGGAAAGAGCGCACTTCTCTCTTGAAAAGGATCTTTAAAGGTTTCTTGAATGATTTCTCAAAAAGGTGTTTTAAAATATTGGAGAAAATATGTTTTTATAAAATTTTTTCTAACTAACTAATTCAATTAATCGATTAATTCGCTTTTTAATCGATTAAAAGAACTTAGCTTAAATGAATTTAATTGATGAAAAACTTCTTTTAATCGATTAAAAGGTTCTCGCAAATATTTATCGAGACATTTTAACCGATAAAAACGTGGTTTAATCGATTAAAATATTTTTAGAAATTTTTCAAAGGCATTTTAATCGATAAAAACAAATTTTAATCAATTAAAAGAGCGATACAAAAATTGCTTAAGTGTTGTTAATTGATTAATTCGAAGTTATATTGATTAAAATTATGGTAGTAAGTTTGTAAAACTTCTTAAGTGTTTTTAATCGATTAATTCGAAGATATTTTAGTTAAAATACTGACAAAAGATTTTCTAAAACTTCTTAAGTGATTTTAATCGATTAATTCAAAGATATATCGGTTAAAATACCGATAGAAGGTTTTCCAAAACTTCTTAAGTGATTTTAATCGATTAATTCGAAGATATATCGGTTAAAATACTAACATAAGGTTTTCCAAAACTTAAGTGAAATTAATCCATTAATTCAAAGATATATAAGTTAAAATACCTGATGTAAGGTTTTCCAAAACTTCTTAAGTGAAATTAATTGATAAATTCAAAGATATATCGATTAAAATTGCGACAAAAAATGTTTTCACTTGGTTTAAGTGGTTTTAATAGATTATTTCGAAAACGTATAAGTTAAAAATGTGATAGAAGGTGTTTTCAAGTTTCTTAACTGATTTTAATTGATTATTTCGAAAACTTATCGGTTAAAACCGAGACTTAAGAACATATTAATTGATTTTAATATATTAAAAAGATTTGGGACACTTTATACTTTTGTAAATGATAGAAACTCATGCTATAGAAATGGATAGATGAATATACCTACTCAATAATATGTAAACTCACTAATGGACTTAACAATACATCTTCTATTTCATGACTTCTTTTGACTTCATCAAATCTTCAAGACTTCCAAGATTCTTACTTCTTCATCAGATGCCACTATCAAGGTTGCACGTTACCCAAGGGGGTTGCTTTTCTGAGTGAGTTGTAGAACATATTGTTAGGTATAAGATTGAGTGTGGAAATATCTTTATGAATGATAATTTGAAAATAAAATATTTCCTTAGTTCTTTAACGAAACATGTTTTTACTTGGTTCACAATACTTCCCCCAAATTCAATCTAGAATTGGGCTCAACTAGAAAGTGATGGGAAAAAATGTCATAAAGAACATCACCACCTTTATTCCTGAGAATTACCCTACTAATAGAGAAATAAGAGAAAAACAATCAACATAGGAATATAACGTGTAAACTCCAAAACTGGAGCAAAAACCACGACTGTTATCTAATGATAACCAGATAATAACACTGTGTAAATTTTTTTATAACACATAGACAACTCTCTCAGCCCTTTGACCTCAAATACACCCACACTCTCTAAAGCAAGAACTTAAACTAAACCTCTCAACACTCTGTCGTTGCCGTCAAAAAGAGGCGGTCGGAGCGACGCGATGGTTCCGACTTTCCAATTTTTGCGCTTTTATGGGTGATGTTACAACGCCTTTAGGTTGTCTGATAACCGGGCTGAACCTAGAAGCGAGGTTTTCGAAAGGGTGTTCTTGGATTGTCTGATAACCGGGCTAACCCAAGAACTAATTTGAAAGGGTTCTTATGAAGTCGCCACCGATGTTTTTATCGGAAATATCGAAAAAGGAGTAAAAAAAGGCGTTGGTTTTCGAAAACCAACTTTGCTCGTTAAAACCAGAGTTTAGGTAAGGGAGTTAGTTACGTGTAAGGGAAGTATCAGTTCCCTTACAACGCCCCTTTCGAGTTCCCTATGATAGGCCAGCTATTTTATAAATAAACTTTTTGAAAAGACGCTTTTACCCTTTTATTAATGGAATTAAAATGACGACTACATGACCCTAATGTCTATCATGCAATTTAATCATAAAAATAAAGACAGTAAGAGAGAGAGGGAGAATGAAGAAACCTCTGAGGTAAGATTTTTATTAATACTCTTGAAAATTAGGGTGCGTTTTGGCAGCCCTTCGCTCTTTACAACGCCGGAATACTCTCGGAAACGTTATAAAAACTCTAAAAAACTCTCAGAAACTCCGGAAATGCTTCGGAGGGGTTCTAGGAAGAGAATTTGAAGAAGTGGTAGAAGGGGAAAGTGGAAGAACTGTGTGAAATAAGGGGGGAGCACTCACTATTTATAGGAATTCACGCCTGTCAGGTCGAGACAGCCATCTCGTCTAATAAGGTCGAGATGGCCGTCTCGCCATTCGGGACGACCGTCTCGACTTGTAAAAGTGGCGATATCGCTGTCTCGTTTGGTGAGACGGCGGTATCGACTTTTCCATAAACGAGAAGGCCTTCTCGCCAAATGGGAGGGGGGTCTCGACATTCGCAAGTGGCGAGACGACCATCTCGCCAAATGAGACGGTGGTCTCAACTTGCAGCAATGGCGAGACGGCAGTCTCGATCCATGAAGACGAAAATCCTTATTTTTAATGCAGAAAATCCTTCCTATCCTATTATGGGGCCTAATAGTCTCTCCTAGTGGCTTCTTAGGTTTCATCCATCTTCGAATAGAAGGTCTTTTGGTCTTTATTATGAGGTCGGGCAAGATTTGGGGTCTACAGCTGCCCCCCCTTTACCTGACCAGTCGACTGTTGGCCTTTCGTGCCAAGAAGATCGACTGGAAGGTAAAGGAGTTGACCCTCTTGCCCGGTTACCCTTCGGATGCTCCGTCTTGCGGCGGTTGATCTTCTGGGGAAAAGTTGTATTGTGCACCTCCAGGATACTCCTTCTGACGGTAGTCGATCCTTCGGTTGATGGGTATAAACCCCCCATCAGGCTGGTAGTTACAGCCCACTATGCGTAGGACTGGATGAGTATGAACCCCCCATCAGGCTGGTAGTTGGAGTCCGCTATGCGTCGGACTAGATAAGTATAAACCCCCCATCAGGCTGGTAGTTGTGACTTACTGATCCGGCTCGAGCGCAGATCAGGCGCACCGCATGCGCAGGTTGATAGGTATGAACCCCCTATCAGGCTGGTATAGTCCACTGCGTAGGACTGGTGGTGGTGGCGGCTTACTGCTCGGGTGGCTCATGCGTCGAGCACTGAGATGCGTTTTCTTGTTTTTGTCTTTTGTCTTTTCTGAGAGTGGTCGTCCGATCTATGGCGGGGATTCTGTTTGTGTTCATCCAGCTTGTTGGTTGCTGGGACTTCTTTGATTTTGATATTTTGGTGGTCATCCGACTTAGTGGCTGCCGGGTAGTTTTGTTTATTGTTGTTCGACTCTTGCTTGGTTGTCGAAAATTGTTGGTCAAGGTGATTAACTTGTTTTTAGCGTAAGTCTTTTTACTCTTAGTTTCTTTTTGTTACGCTGACTCTTTTGAAAAGGAGAGCAAAATGCATGAAATGAAATTTTATTTATGATAGGAATTTATTACAACAGTTTATTTCCTAAGCGCTATCCATAAGACGGTGGACTCGAGTCTGGAGACGATCCGTAAGAGGGAAATTGCCGGTAGAGATGTCTTCGAAATTCTGCTTGATCCCGGGCTTCGTCTAGGTACTCCTGTCAGAATGTCGCCAGGTCCTACCTTATTCCCTCTTGGTATTGGTTTAATGTCTCCATCCTCGTGTCGAGGGCATCTTGCCTTAGGGACATTTGCTCTTGTCTCATGGACATTTGGTCGAATTGCTGGTGCAGATCGTAGATGTTGCGGTTGATGCCAGCAAAGTCGTCCGTGTACTGCTGTTGTTGTTGTTGTTGCTACTGTTGTTGGAACTCTGGGGGTGTCGGAGTAGGAGATGGAGGCGAGAAACTCTAACACCGCCTGAGGATAGACGTGGGTAGGTGGAGACTGAGGAGGAAGCGCCACCCTATGCTGTCAATGTGGGCACGGACGTCGTCTTCCCACCCGAATTCGGCGAGAATGCCGAAGTCCAATCTTAGCATGGGGTGCCAGGTATATCCCCGGATGTGTTCTAGGCGGTCCTGGTGCAGTGGTGAAAGTTGTGTGGGATCCTGCGGATTGGGGGCTGAGGAGCTACTGGGGCCGGCAGAGCCTCTTCTCTTTCTAGATTGGTCTCCAC